ATCTTATAGATAGGGGGAGTGGGTCGCTGTATAGATAGGGGAAGTGCGGGCGCCCATGTCCACAACCATGATAACAAGCCCCTCTTGCAGTTAAAAGGACTTCTACTATGTTGTTGTTTTGTTTTTTAAATTTTAATAGCTGGAAACATTATTGTTCTTCTGTTCATGTTTAGATCGATGATAAATCGTTGATTGGCGACATTTCAATCATCGAGTCCCGAGACAATGAGTCAGATTAGCGGTGTGTTCTTTCAAGTCCCCCCCACCTCCCCCCCCCCTCCCTGAGAGTGAGCATTAATTATTGCAGCGGCGTCCAATTTTTATTTGATTTTATGTCAATAGCCTCGCAGGTAAATACGTAATCTTCCGCGACTCCAGCGTCAACATTTGGTTTTGTTACAAATACTGTGCAAATACTTTTTCGCTTGAATGCTTACGAATTTTACGTTGTCTTCACCCCCAGCCCCCACACCAAAAAAAACAACAACAAAAAAATCTCTCGAAAGCTTATATGTTATAGTTGACACCATACTACGCCCCCCCCCCCCCATCCCAACGGTACAAGAATATGGGGAAACCTTCCCCTGGACCAACTGGACCTATACTCTGTATTAGACAGCTCAAATGTGGCTGAGCTTTGTTGTAGCGTGACGATGATCGGATTACGATAACATTATGACACACAACATGACAGGCTCACATCCCCATATGGTATCTCTGGTACAATATGGGTCGCTGCAGCAGTGCGTTGTCCTTAAAAAAAAATTACGGATTAACTAAAGCGGGTAAGCGTCCCCTTGCAAGAAATACATCGCCATAGGTGGAGCATAGCTGACCCGGGGTGGGGGTAACGAAATCTGGACACTCCTCTCCCTCTTGCTGGCGTAAAAAAGGAGTTCTATAAAGCAGTGAAACACAGCAGTATATAGTGCTCAAATTATGGCTAAGGTTTGATCCTCCTCTGTAATAAAAAAGTCACATGCGCCCATGCAGCCCAACAACAATATGGCTGCAAGTCTGCATCGCAGCTAATTATGTCTTAAAAAAGGTAATACTAAAGATCACAACAACTTGTTGGTTTACAAAGAAAGACGAATAACAACACTTACTGGAAAACAATTCTTTGTCAATTTAATTAATAATTTATTTCTGCTACCACCTTCCTACACCAGGGTACTGCTCAAACACCGCAAAATTGACTGCTTGCTTTTGAGCCTGTTTATGCTTATGTATGGTAGCTTTGTGTGCTATAGGCATATCTGAAACTTTATATAGTACATGAATTGACAACTTGATATACAAAAAAAAAAACCTCTTTAATGAATAATCCATGATGCAAATGTATACAAATACACCATGTTTATATGGCAAAAATGTATCCAATAAGTTATGAACATTATATTTCTTTCATTCAAGAAATTTATCAGCATGGGTTTGAGCAAAATAAATTAAATTAAGCAAAATAGAAAATTGCAACATTTTATAAAAGAACTTTCACACCAAACAGTAAAATACATTACCAGAATGGTAACTGAGAAAACCATAATGCAATGTATTAGATAATTGTGGACGTAAAAACTTTATCAACCATACAGAAATACAAGCACGAGAGTTGCAATTTTAAAAACTGAATAGTGAACTGAACAGGACAGCTAATGAGATTTACACCAGCCGGGGTTCCATTTGTGGAGACAAACAGCATTGGATTGGTCTGAATAATTGAGGGATGTGGTGGTGCCATTGATGATAATGATGATGCCATTAGCTCATTGTAGTTCATGGAACTACAAATAAGCATATGCTTTGTGTAAAAAAAAAACAACAACAACTCCTCATATTTTAAATGTCGTCATTGAAGTTAAATTACAGCTGTTTGAGATGAATCTTGATTGTAACAACCTTTTAAGTTTTTGGAAAAACCACATTTGTAAATGAAACTAAATTTTTAATAGCTTTCATTTTAAGTCCCAATTTACGGATGTAATGGCAATTAAAAAAAACTAAAAGAAATTATGTTACATCATGACCGTTATAGAAAGCAGACATAAAAAACTGCACATCTGTAGTGAAACAAACAAGATGATTGTCAGCTTTTCAAAATATTTAAATTAGTTGACCATCAGGTCTATATCTTATCTCTTTCACTTAACATGGATCACCATTGTTTATAGCAGTCCACAGTTTTAAACACAATCAGGAGGTTGTTTAAATAAAATATCATTCAGCATTTAAAAAAATGATTTCATTTAATTCTTTTGCAGTCAGACCCATGGCTCATAAGTGATAGAAGTGTCTGGACGGTTGTATTTTCATGTATAAGATAATAGATTTATATCATAGCAGCCATCCACCTGAAAATAAAAAAAAATAATAATAAATAAATATGTATGTCTTCACTATGTTAGACCTCATATAAAATGTCTCTATCATTGCCAAAATACTGATAATCTTGATGTGACAGATTTACTGTTACACTGTTAATGTCATATAAAATTCTTTTTTAGTTTAAATTTAAATTTTAAAAACATCAAAATAAACAGAGGATATGTTTTAAAATGCATTCTTCGATATTAATGAATGTGTAAATTAAATGACATTTGAAAAGAAAGATTTAAATAAATTTCTCAATATAGGGCCTACCATATACCTTCAAAGTTTTCATAACATGTACTTATAATACTGGTACATGCTAGAAATGCTTGCTTTGGAAGCTTTTAAATAATTCAATTTTAACTGATCAAACAGCATAATCCCTTTAGATTTAATTGAATAATCAAGAGAGTGAACAGTGCTCAGCACACATATCCACCCATTAGATCTTTATATAAAATAAATATTTTCATTTTTCTATCATATCTCTCCACCAAACTTCCATAGCTTATTCTTTAGGGTTATCCCTTTGAGCTTGTGTAGACCTATCCTCATTGATTTTTTTGCTTATTTAAACTTTCATTGGCATTCTTCTGTTTTAATTCCTTTTCTTAGTTTGCTTCATATGTAGCGTACATTTTTAAACCAAGCCAGCTTGAAAAGGTTTCTCCATCTGCAATCTCCTCACCTCATATCTGGCCATTGATACCTCTGCTTTCATTAATTTGCTCACTTTGTTTTACTATGCACATTTTTAAACAAGCTGGCTTGAAAAAGTTCTTCAACTCCAAATATCTCCTCACCTCATATCTGCCCAATGATTCCTCTGGCTGATTGGATGAGGCTTCCTCAGCCAAGGCCCACAACTGCTGAAGTTTGGATGACAGGGCATCAAGATCTGGCACTCCCTGAAATATTTCACAAACTCTTGTGTAATTCACGCACATGAAAATATGTATTTCTCTTTTTGTAAACTTACATTTTATTTAATTAACATATTACCCAAACTATAAATAGATTAATTAAAATATCAGATATATGAGAGTATGTATTTTAAATGAAAATACTGCACATGCGCATAATAAATCCATCTCATATTAATGAAATTTAAAGAGTCTACCATCATTTGCCAGCATGAAGGAGAAATGGAAAGGTTCATAACGAGCATATTTTTTTCAAATGAATTAATTTGAATATTAACAAATAAAAATAGTAATCACAAAATATGTATTTTAAAAAATTGCTAGCCAATAATGTGGAACAATATTCCAATGTTATTTTTTGGAATACCAGTATCAAATTTAAAAAATCTTTTAAAATAAAAATAGAAAGGTATAGCATAAAAATGTATCCAACTTTTAAGAAAGCAGAAATAAGAAACTAGAAAGCCTAAAAAGGAAGTTGATTTTATGTTAGTATTGTTTAACTATAGACTACAGGCCATACATTGAGCTTTAGGCAGTCTTATGTTATATGGACGTTGGTTGCATGAGCTTCAAAACATAAAACAACTATTTACTAAATGTTTTAATGATTTTTTTTATTTTATTTAACTTATTATTATTTTTAGAGTGCTAAAAAAAAAGATTTCTTGAAAGCCAGTCAGAAGGATCAACTTTATTTCAAATTAAAACCCTTCCACAGATTGTCTTTTTTTAATCCTGTCACCTTAATTAGGATAATATTATACTTATACACTTGTAATCTGTTAACAATTTTAACTATTTTGAAAGGAAACTTTGTGAGATACAAGGCAGTGCTTCTCAAACTTTTGAGTGTGACAGACCAGCAGCTATAATCTTTATTAAAGTAAGGATTAGTTCCCAAATTATCAATTATAGGACATAAAATTTATTTACTCTTAAAGTCAGTTTCGGGATATGTTCTTGAAGTCTTTTTTAAAACAATTATTTCTGTAGAGTGTTGTTATAGTGGATAAGATGGACTTTTATCAGGCTGTATAGACTCTACACTAGTATTGTTTTGTTATCTTCTTATATTTTTTACATTTATTTATCGACCAGTGACAGGGGCAGTCAGACCAGCTCCAGTCCATGGTCCAGCAATTTAAGAAACGCTGATTTTTAAGTCATATTCATATTTAAAGTTTAGTGAGAATAGAGCAAAACTTTTTTAAAAGTAAAAATAAAAATATGTTAAATAAAAAAGAATAAGTTTTGTTGCTTAAATATTCCAATTTTTTTTACTGATATTATAAATAAAAATTCATTATTTTGATGTTTGTTTCTTTTAAAATCTTAAGAGCTTTTAAACCAGACATTTTTATTTATAATATCAGTAAAAAAAATTGGAATATTTAAGCAACAAAACTTATTCTTTTATTCATTATTTTGATAATAGTTTAAGCAAGCACATTTTAGACACTTTTGATATTTAAATGTGCTGTTATTAGTGGTCTATGAATGTCCTGCTTACCAACAAAGTCAATTCAGCATCAACAGCTGAATGTAATAAAGGGTAGTTTGACTGCATACAAATCATTATCAGAGTTATTATTTTTTTACATGCAACATGATAGTTTTTTCAGATTAACAATTTTAATTTATAAAAAAAAATAGTTTTTTTATAGAGGACCAGGTTCCACCCAAGTCATAAAAAAGGAGGAGACTTAAACATGCGGGCTGTAGACCCCATAGCATAAAAAAAAAAGTTTGGTATAGAAATTAAAAAAACAACTAATAAAAGTGGTAACACTGTGGCATCAATAGTGAAAGCTCCCACAGAAGTAGCTGATAGGCAGATTTGGCATTCATTGGCCATGGCACCAAGCACCACTACATGGGCCTGGATGAAGACGATGATGAGTATTGTAATGTACATCCAAATTATGTATAGTCAGGAACACTACTCTGTAACAAACAACCTAACCAACTGTGTCCACTTTATGTATAAACATAACATGTAGCATTTTCAGTTAGTGGTAGCTTCTGAATTGTGTAGTCCATTGTGTCCCTTTGAACAATTTAGATGCAAGTAGTTGAATGAAATTTTATTTAAAATATGTTGAATAAGACCTATGAGCCATGCATCAATGCTCTGGTTAGATCTTATAAACTATGGTGAGAAAAAAAAATGGAAGCTATCAAATACATGTTGACTCCAGAAAATGCTGTCATTGTCTAATTATTAAATATAAATAATGATTTTTATTTTTCTACATGATTGTTTTTGTTTCACTCATTGACCTGATAGTAAGAAATATGGTCACGTCAACACAATTTACAAATTTAAATAAAATTGTCAGTTATTTTATTTTACATATACGGGGGTTAAATATAAACCATAATATGGACAAAGAGAAGCAACTGAATATGTGGGCATAAACTTATGTTGCCCGATACACATGCTGTCATAACTTTATTGCTTAAAAAAAATACTTTCCTTTTTTCTGCAGGGCAGAGTTTTTAAAATATAATTTTTTATGTTTATAGGAAATCAGAATGTTATGCATTTTACCATTTCATGTAAAGTAAAAATACAGGTTTTTTTTAATTCTAAAACCAATATCCATAGTTTTATCTACGAATCTATACAAAAAAAAAATGAAGCATAATCACATAAAGTTAGTATTACATTGGTGAAAGATAATAAGTATCTGTAGTGCTATAGCATGGGTGGCCAGTGAACAGGGAAAGGTAAGTGTTGCATCCTCTAATCCTTGTACAATTAGCACTGTGTCCACCCCACCAGTCAAGTTTTGAAATCATCGCACTCAATCACATGTGTCAAAATTTAAAACAAAATAAATGTAGAACAATTTTTAAAAATTTACTCCGGCCTTTATTTCATTTTGGATTTTTGCTACCTTAAAAATTGTGAATGTGGGACAACTGCTTCTGCCCCACCCCCATGCTACACCCCTGTGTATAAGAGAATAAGATAAATTGGTTGATTAAATGGGCATAAGGTTACTTAAAGTCCTTAGTAATAAAAAGTGCTCAATACATTATTTTGGAAGTCTGTGCTGTAAGAAACATAATTTTAAAACATGCATACTCATTATTCGTAAAGCTGGCATGATGAATTCAGAACAATTCAGAATTCTATAAGCTAAGATGATACATGATATACTATTAACTCCAAGCACCTCAGCATTAGATAGCAGTGCTTGTGTTTGATATTTTTAGATGCCATTAATTTATAGCACATTAATTGCATGCATCATGACATCAAACAAGAAGAGAGAGAAATAAACTAGGTATTAGTTTTATTTAGCTTCTAAGTAAAGTAAAGGACAGTTTTTATTCTCCAAATTTACCTTTGTACTTTTAGGGACGGATTGGGATACCTTATTGGCATACAATAAGTCAATACATTATAAATAAAAAAAAATTTTTTTTTCAAAACAGCATATTTTTACTTAGAGCAATTACTGCTTATTCCTCAAATTTACAAATACTCATTAGATACTTTATTTAGGGGTTGTGATAAATACTTGAGTTGAGGGTAAATAGATATATTAATTATCAAATTTTTTCTATATTTTAAATCACAAATAATAATTCTCTAGGTATGAATGAATGTATGCAAATATTCACAGCTTTAATGTTACTGTTCAAATTGAATCAATTTAAATCTGACTTTTGTAAAGTGCATTACTTGAATTAATGTATTGTCAAGTAAATTCAGTAGAGGAGAATTGCTGTGCCATTATTTGGTGGGTTATTTCAAGTTTTAATAATAATAATTTAGTGGTACAAAAACATTATTGCCAATTGCCTGCATAATGATAATGGGAATAACATTTGTTTAATTCATGCATTTGCTTCTCACCTTATATCAACTAATGATGACCTGATCAAATGGGCTTCATTTGTCTCTTAAACGTCAAACATACTCATCATATTTAAAGTAAGCATTTTCGTTCCCAATAATAACCATCACCAAAGTGAAAATTTAAATGAATTTTCTTTACCTCTATTTCTTTTTTTCCACCTGTGCTGTTCTTCGCCTCTTCTGTGATCCAGTGAGGAAACGGGACGGCCCGAGATCCCTATTAAAAGGAGTTGAGATGATGGACATGATGAAACTTTGTTTCAGTACCTGGTACACAAGTTTGGCTGATGGTATAATGTATACTGATGCATTTTTTTTTGTGACCAAACAAACTGTTTATATATAAAGTAACCATGTTTCCATAAATATATTCCATCTGCCATCAGCTGCAGTGGTACATCATTGTTCAAGTGCAGGTTTTTGTCTAAATAAAGACATAACTTTTAAAGATACAATATTCATGTTAGCAAAATATCAAGGCTATCAATTTAGAGGGAGAAAGCACCAATATTTTTAACCTGTTAAACATCATCATAAAAAATGACAAAAAAGATTTCAAAAATAGAAATTCATTATATTTGGATGCAAGTTTCTCATAGTCTCTATTAAAAACTTAAAGATTATTTAGTTTTTTTTATGTGTAATATTTTTTAAAAAGTAATATATGTAACTTACTAAGGGTGTCCTGAATATTTTTATATCTTGTACATTAAAGTCTTTCCACATAGGTGAGGGCTGCTGAAGAATCAGCCTCAAGAATACAACATTTGAAAGATCACATGAGAACTGGGAAAGTAAAAGAAACAATCTTTTAGTTCATACTTTGAAACTGTTCTTTTTAGGATAATATATATATATCTTTCTATTAAAAAATTAATTAATAATTTATTGTTTAATGTAAGCAAGAAGCTTTTCTTACTCTCTAAAAATTAAAAAAAAACCCTACTAAATAGAGTTCATTTCACATCTGCATTTTATGTACCATTCACCATAATCACAATACCTTTTATCCATGAAACATATTTATTAAACAATCGTTTTAAAAGATTAAAATTTTTTAAATAGATATTTTGGCATTAGCACAAAGAATTAGTTGTGTTAATGTTAACTAGATTAAGCACACAAAACTAGTTGTGCTAATGTCAACTAGACTAAGCACAAAGAACCAGTTGTGCTAATGTCAACTAGACTAAGCACAAAGAACTAGTTGTGCTAATGTCAACTAGACTAAGCAAAAAGAAACATTAGTGCTTATGTTAACTAGACTATCGTACATGTTTTCTTGTGAGACAGAAGAGATCCTGTGCACCAGTTTCTGCATGTGGGTCAGGCATAAGTTTTAAACTGTGAATAGCGGTTTTCCAGCCCTGGTCATTTTCTGCAAATTTTAAGAAGTAGCAGTAAGAATGTCACAGAGGAGAAGGTGTAAACTAGGCAAAAATGTTAACCATTTAAAAAAAAAATAGTGGGTCTATATGAAAACTGAGAAATATTAAGTAAGGTTTGCACTTAAATAATAATAAATAGTGTATTCTCCTTCTTATATTGATTTTAAAAAAAAAAAAATTTAATTAATTTTTTTAATCTTGTTGAAATTGCTCTAGCCTATAGTCTTCATGTTTAAATAAATTCCTGTTCCTTATTTTAAAAAAATCCCTTGGTAATTAAATAGTAAGATGTTGAAAATTTATTTTCTTTATTACTGTAACATTTAAGGTTAAAAATACCAGTAATAAAGAGTAAATAAAAACAAAAACAGATTTATGTTAGTGCTGAATTTGTCATGTGATTTTTATCTTTACAAATTTTTTAATGAATTTGTTTAACAATCAATTTCAAAAAATAATTGTCAATCAACAAATCAATGTTCTCTTTTTATCCACAATGTATGTAGCAAAAAGATTTTTTTTTAAAAATCAATTTTATGCCTTTAGATATTCTGAGAAAATTAATATTTTTGCCAGAAAATGTACATAAACTTTTTCAGATGAAACAGTTTTGTTAAGTTTGATAGTTAAAATTTCAGCCTCAATTTATAAAAATTTTATATTATATGCTCAAAACCACTCCAATTAAATAAGGGACAATAAATTCTAGGGAAAGCAGAACCCACACAAAACTTGATCAGAACATACTAGATTTTAATCTATTCTTCACTAAATGTAACCTATTTAACCTAAATGATATACAGGTAACTAATGATATAGCAGTTATTAATCATAATATTTGTAAAATTAACGTAAAAGTGATTTTAAAGACAAAAGCATTATACACAATTCAAACATTTTAGTCAAACTCTTAAAATAATTCTCTAACACCAAGCCACCTAAATGAACATCTGAAAATGCAAAATGTGTGTTTCATATTAACGGTTTCCAACACAATATGGTTTTTGCCCAGTCTTTTAGAAGCAGACTTATTGCCAAGTTTAACATTTAAGAATCTCATTTTAATCAAATAATTAGAGCTTCCTTTCCCTCAGCTGCCACAATAAATTTAAGGCAACTCTTGATGAACTATGATGTTATAGCCTGTGTGCTGACATAGTTTTTGTTCATTCAGCATGTGGAACAGATGCATGCATCCCATACCCCCTCCACCCCTTTTTTTTTTTTACTGACGTAACCAATTAACTTGGTGACACGTGCTGCCTCTTCTTCCCCCCCCCACCCCCACACCTTGATTGAAAACAGAGAGGTAGCATGAGTGAACAGTGAATTGTGTTGACCATGTATTTTGAGAGGACAATGTGAGCTCCACATTTTTTGACTCCACGTTTTTGGAGAGTAAAATTATGTTTTTGTCAGAGCGGTTGTTTTCCACGCTTTGCTGGTAATAAAGTATGAGTTGACTGAGATAAGGAGAGCTGAGCGCAAGGAGAGTCAGAGTTAGTCGGAGTTGAGTTAGAGTTGAGATGTAGTACAGTTGAGCTGAGTTATAGTAGTGTGAGGACGTGTCTTTCTTAATGATGGAATACTATAGATATATATGTGAAATTACATTCATGCAAGGATTATTTATTAATATTATCAGTATAAAGTGTGTTCAATAAAGTACTGTAAGTTTAACCAGGATTCAGTATTCTTATTTGCGTGCCCGGATAATAAGTGGAAGAATGAAGAAGTCTTAGTCGGCATCCTGAAATATCAACATAACATAAGTAACCATACTACTGACATAACCCACAGCATAAGAAATAAGATCCCACGCCATGTCAAAGTAGTTGTGTTACAGGAATGTTTCTGTACAATTTCCAGAAAATCTACATGGAGATAGAAAATATTCCCTGACAGTTAAATTTCTACACCTCTGTTCTGGGGGGTTCTGACTCCCTCAATATAAATATGACTGTGACCGACAGACTTATGAGACTGACCAGACTTATTGAATTGAATTGAATATTTATATAGCGCTTGTATCCATGCTACTATAGCATGCTCACAGGGCTCTGATGTTCTTAAAGCTATTTAAACAAAAAAGTCTTTAAATGTTTCTTAAAAGATTTTTTGAAACAAATGATGAAATGTCAAATTTAAACCAAAATGCAATGATAAATAAACTGAGATGAAAGGGCAACTTACGTCCATGTTTAGGTGTTGCTTCCGTTACTTTGATCTTAACCTTGAGAGTTATGAATGCCACATAACTGTTTTGAAAATGAATTTCTCCGATCTGAATATTTAATTTAAAAAAAGGAAGAAATGGTTCTTTCTTTAATAAATGAAAACAACTCTTTTAAAGTACTTGTAACAATTTTAAAAAAAATTTAATTGTGATACTTTTAAATGTATTTTTGATGAATTAATGATATTTAATTGATGAAAGTACACCCAGAGCTTTTTTAATTGACATTTTATCCTAAAAAATATAGGTTTAGGTCATCAAAGTTTTATTTGAAACTTTTAAGTAGACATTTTTTAAGCACAAAGTCCATTTAAATGATTAATGAAATCATGTGTTGTGTGGAAAATGTTAAAAGGGGAAGCTATCTGAAATAAAGGGATGAAATCTGAAGTAAATTAAAATAATTTTGGATGTAAGCAAACTTAACATCCCAGATAGCCCAATTTAGAAACAAGGCACATCAGAAAAATTATGCAAATCAAATAGATGCCCAAAAGAAGAAAAAAATGAATTAAAAAAAAAAAAGACTGTAATGATGTTAAGCAAATGTTGAACACAAAATTTAAAACTATCTCTACACATTTATGAAGAAAAATCTATGCAAACTCATACCTGTCAATTTATACGAATTAACTGTCATATGTAAAAGTAAAACACTTTCAAATTTTTTAACAATGTACTATGCATTCCTCGTATCATTGCACAAAAGATAGTTTGAGCCCCCTAAGCATTAAGAGGAAAATACTTATTCAACGCACAGGTGGCACAGCTAATGGAAAACTCTTGTCATTGGTGTAGCTATGATATGGCCTATACATTAGCATAAGGGTTGCCAGTTGTTTGTCAGAATAAAAAAGAATATTTTCCATGACAAATCAATAATTTAATTACAATGTAATTTACATGGAATATAGTTTACATGTTATTTACTCATAATTTTTTTTCTTTTGATTTAACTGCTCTTAACAATTTCCAAAGTCATGCTGCTTTGTAAATTGGTAAACTTGCTTAAAAGTGAAGTTAATCAGTACTGGGTGGTTTCTGTTTCAAATATTCATTACTAAACAAAACTTTCCAACTATGACAGAGTTGGAATAGTTAAGAAATAAATTACTCAAAATTTTTTAATAAATATATTTAAATGGCCATATCTTATTAAGTCATTAAATAAGTACCGGTATGTTACTTTATTATTTTTTTTAAGTAGCATACTTATATTCATGGTAAATTTGCTTTCACACAAAAAATTAGTTTTAAATTAACTCTTTTAAATTATTTTGTTAACAAACAATTATAAAACTATCTCCAGTTATTTTTTTTGCCAAAGTCCATTTTTATTTAGTCGATAGCTCATTAAGATGATTCTATACTTTTTAAAAATATCACGGCCACCGTTATATGAGAGCCTAAACATCTTCAAAATGTTACATTTCATAAAGGATTTCTATATCAGCATTACAATATTTTGGATTGTTTAAAATGTTTGTTTCTTTTGAAATGCATGGATGTGACAGAAAAAAAGTTAAGAGATTGTCTTACGGGTTTATGAAAGACGTGAAATGTATGAAAACAATGGACAGTACAAAGATAAGACCTGGCAACCCTAGAAATATACAGGAATTAATAAATATTGCTGCTTCTTAAATAAAAAAAAGGGCACATAATTTCAGCAGAAAATTATGTTAAACACTAGTTTTCTTGTGTTTTATCTACTTTTTTGTTGTTGTGTCAATGCACTACGTTAAGAGAACACAATTTTTTAACATTTTAAAGTAATGCTTTATAAGCTTAACATAGTGACAGCTTTGGTATGTTGTGTGTTTCTTTAAACCCTCTAAAATGAACCAATGTTAAAATATGGTGGCAACTTATTTGTGAATATGTTTTTATTAGTTTTTACAGACTTAATTTGTTATGTATACAGTATTTGATTTCAGGAAATTGACAGGTATGAAAATCAGTGGTGTACTTAGGGAGGTTTGAGAGAGGGCGATAGCCCCCGAAGGCACTTTGTTATCATTAAAGAAATTATACAAATGATTTTTTTGTGTCTGTGTTTGGGGTGCAATTTGAAGAGTTTTGGGGGGGGGGGGGGGGGATTTAGTAATGGTATGCCACTGAGAAAAACTTATCATATCTAATAAGCCTAATTAAATAAATTATAAAACAAATCAAGGTGCATGTCAGGCATTAAAAAAACACCATATATGTTTAAAAGCCTTTGAGGACTCATTTGTAGATGCCTTAAATCTACTTACTGATTCGCCATCTCCAGGTGCCTAAAGAAACGTGCAATATCACAAAATGAAACATAAACTCTCATAATAATTTGAGGCAATAATTAATTATAGAATGAAGTTAATTATTAGACCTACCTGTTCTTTCCAATTTCTCTTTTCTCCAAATGATTTAGATTTTTATATTTAATTATTGAAACAGATGGATTATGTTAACTACTTATGATATTAATTCCTTGACCATGTAAAATGAGATTGTTGAAATCACATCTAAAAATCTTATTCTTTAGATGACAAAATTTCAATATATACATCCATAATGGATTATGGCAGTGATTGGCAATCTACTGTCCAGACTTAGACATATTAGTTTCAATGATACTTGGGTGACCAAAAAAAAAATGACTATAAAAAATGTATTTTATATGTTAGAGCAGGCCTGCACAACTCAAAATGTAAGGCGGGCCATAATACTTTATGAAAAAATTTAAGGCGGGCCGAAAGAAAATAGGACAGGGGGGGAAAACAGGGGGGAAAAACAGGGGGGAAAACTATTAAGAAAATAATAATAATAACAAATATTTTGTTACTTCGCGGGCCGCAAAGTTGCTGCTGGTGGGCCACATGTGGCCCGTGGGCCTTATGTTGTGCAGGCCTGTGTTAGAGTTATTTTCAGCCTATATTATAGGTTGTTTGCATGATGAATGAATTAGACATCCTTTTTCACACATTATGACAGAAAGGTTCCCAACACCTGAAGTAGAGTTGATCTCTGTTTATTACTTGATAATGATGGTGAAACTCTCAATTGCAAAAATTTTACATTACTGCAGACAGATATATTATAAGAAAGAATTTTAGGAACATATGCAAATTAACTGGAGCCATTGTATTAAATTTGTCACCCATGCCCATATGCCCAAAGGTTTAAATATAGTTTGGTGGGTGTATATTTTAAAATTGTATAAAAATTAAAAGATATAGGCCTATTTGAGAAAAGCAAAACAAATATAAGTAATATAAATATAACTATTTCCAATTAAAGGACCCATGCCCATACACATTCACATGGTCTTCCATGGTCAAAAGTCATTTTGGGGCGTTATATTAATTATTATATGTAATAAGGCAATGTATTCATTATTCTGCTATCCTCAATACAAGTAACAAGTCATTAATGAACGATTGACTCTACCTGACACTCAAAATAAAGGTAAAAAAACGGGGACGACTGCCACTATTTTATCGAATTTCACGAATGTATCCCTAAAATTCGATCCCTATGCCTAACTCTAACTCTAACCTGAACCGAACCCTAAATCGATCCCTCAACCTAACCTAAACCCTAATTCACTGCAACTACAATAAACACACAAAAGACGCCGTTGCAGCCGTCCTCAGTTTTAGCCAAAATAAATAGTAATCAAGTTATCTAATCATTTTATTATATTTTTTTTTTTTTTAAATGGTTATTCATACCTCTGGATTTATGATGCTTGGAAAAGAGATGTCTATAATCTTGCAACCCGAATTGAAGTTCTGAGCAATTCCTGGTCTTACGTCTACATTTAAGTTCACTGCACCTTTTATAGTGCAGCTAATTGGTTTATCATTCATTTTTTATGATTGTCTTTATTGATAAGTCAGACGATTAAATTACCTTCTCATGACATCAGACATTGCACGTAGATTTTTCAGGATCGCGTCCTAAGCAACTTTGTATTAGGTCCAGCTATAATCCGAAATATTAGATATACTCTATATATTTTAAAGATGTAGACTTATGTGTGAGTAAATTTTGGAAAGTAGGAAATTCATGTATATGAATAGCAGTTTCCAATTATCTTCAAATTGCCTTCCTGTTTGGCGCACGTCACAATTTTTGGAAACAGCTTTTTTATTTATATTTTGGGGGCGGGGCGTGGGAGCTCATTGTAGGTCACGTACGACGTAGACCTACACATTTTAAGGGGGGGAGGGGGGAGGATGCATGCTAAAAGTACGGGTGCAACAATGATTGTAGGAACAAAAAGGTCATAAAACATGTTTCATATAAACTCCATTTTTTCAGTGTTTATAGTTGTAAGTCCATATATATGTTTATTTACTAAAATAAAAAATAGCTATAGCTAATTCGGATATTCCGGGATATTGTTTTAACTCTCGTTTAGGATTAAATTTTTCTTTTTGATATTATAGATACAAATAATAATTCACACATTTAATAAAATGATTTATTATTACTTAGTTATACATGTGTGTGTGTTGCTTTTTTTTTTTGTGTGTGTTATTATGTACCGGTATACATATTATAATCACGCATTTAATTCTATGCTTTATTCAAAATTATTTACAATGTTGTGCATAAAGCCAATAAACACGGATATTACAGATTGAATAACAATAAATGGTAGTAAGCAACTGGTTATTTGATTCTCACGTCTAATCTCACAGACACAACTCACATAGTAAAAGAATCAAAGGAAAGCAAGAGATGGTGCATTGTAGTATCCTACTAGTTTACTCTATTCAGACAAAGTATCAATGGCCTCAATGTGGTCCGTGATAATAAGGAAGGGAGGAGGGGGGCAATGTGGTCATTGCGGTTTTGAACAGAAAGATATAAACGTTATTTTCTGGGCTGTTGTACAATCACATACCTGTAATCACATTGAAACTCATTATTGTCACCAATGGAGTGTGGTCGGACTGAAAAAATATACAAATTCAATTGTTCCCCAAACTTGTCATGATTTATTTATGCTATCAGACTAAAGTCTGATCTTTTTTTTCTGTGACGTTTTTCTTGTGACTTTTTTCCCGGTGACTTTTTTTTCCAGTGACTTTTTTTCCTAGCAAAATTTGTGACTGTTGCCGTGACTTTTTTTTTCCTGTGACTTTTTTTCGCTCAAGGGTGTCTAAATCGGACTTTTTTACGTTCTAAATAGGCTACATACACTATATTTCACTATATAATAAAATAATAATATATCTGGATGGCCTACTACTATACTATGCTTGGTCAATTCAAGTTTAAATATCAAAGACAAAGTCAAGTCAAAGCCAAAACTCATTTATTTTAGAAAAAAATAATTAATTATTAATTACTGTTAGAGTTGCTTCTATTGAAAACAAATACATGGGGCTCGACAATTTAACATTTTTACTTTGAATTAAATTTGTTCAGGTTTGGGAGGGGCAGATAAAGATATTTATTTGTTTTGTCTACTGTTTCATCCAAGTTTTTTTTCAGCTGTTAGTACTAGCATCGGAATGCTTCGCTCGCGAGATTTGCATCACGCATAGAGAGACCAAAATGGCCGAACCCTACGACGACGAACCTATTTCCGACCAAGACAAGGTATGTCCGTTGCATTTTCATATGTTTTTACGTGTGAAAAATTGTTTGACTCTAAAACATGCATGTTATTATGAAATTGAAATATGCCAAATACCAATTAGAGCTTTGGTTTTTGCAATATGACTCTTGCCTTGTACCAGGAAGGGGAGTGGCTGTGTTATCATCGGTCGGCAGTTGAAAAAAAAAAGTTATTATTTTAAGGTTCCAGCTTCCGCATTAAATATTAGTTTTTCCTTAATGAAATGAAAGCAATTTTTGTAGAACAGTCCTGTGATTAATTCACTTTTTAAAATAATCATTTTATGGTTTAAGTCAAATATTTTGTTAGTGATAGTGATGATTAGACTAGTCTTCTTCCCGGTGTTAGTTATTTATAAATTTCTAAGTATTGACTTCACAGTGACAGTATTGTTATTGTCAATTATTGTAATCAGTTAATCAGAAATTTTGAGAAATCATTTCTCAGAAATGTAGCCCTCTAGGCCCTCTTGACTTTAAATTGCATTTGCTATGTTAATGTAAATTAGTTACATATTGTCACCAGTAACTGACACTTCTGTCCACGAATGCTGAATAGACTGGGTTTCATTTTAATTTTAATCATTAATTTTAATCAGTAATTAGGCCTTAAACTTTAACAAATTGTAAATAAATTGGCTTGAATCAGGCTATGTCATAGCCTGATTAAAAGTAATATTAAATAGGCCTACTATATTTAATAATAATATAATAAATATCATTCAAAATCATTGATTATTTAACAATAGGCTATATTTATATTATAATTATATCTTCTTTTTAATTAATAAGGCCTGTCACTGCCTATTAGCCTTCAGCTTGTAGTTAATTTTTACTAAAGTTAATGGTTAGGCGTAGACTTTCACCTTAGTCCTAATGCTAATAATAATCTTATGGAGCTATGCAAATAATAAATTAAAATATTTTGGCACTATGTCCGGCTATGTACAATGACAAATGTCTTGGTCCTTTTTATGGAAACCAAGTGGTCTGTGACCCCCTTATTATAGTCCATTATTGAAGCAAAATAACCTTGATCTGATGGGACCCTGAAGACATATAAAGAAAAATTAATACAAAAGAGAAAACACATGATAAAATATATGCTGTATTTGAAAGCATATTCAAACTTTACCATTTTTATTTCATATCATACCAATTAATTATTATTTTTAAAATCATTTTATGTTTAGTTTGAAATCACTGTTTTATTCTCCAAACCCACAAAAAAACATTTTATTGTTATAAACAGAAACCATCATAACTAATTAAAACTATTGTGTGGCATGGTCATATTTTTATGCTTCCTTTACTCGGCTAAACACACTATTGGTATTAGGGTATAAAAACATTTAAATATTTGTTTATAACTTTATTACATTACACTAAATTGCACAAAAACTAAATAATTTCTAATCAATGAAAGTTTCCCCGGACACATTGCATAACATATGTGCCTTTATCTCTAATAGAGTATGTGCCTCTATGCCCAAAAAGTCAACATTACCATATGTCAATTTCTATTAAAAAAATCTCAAGTCCTGTTAATTAAGCTGTTAAATAAATTAATGAAAGGAGCTTTTATTCTAAAACAAAGGCCATGATTTGTGTATTAATAAAAAAAAATTTTGTTGGTGGGTTTAAATGAGATTAAGTTGAAATTCATAGATTGTTTTAAAATAAATGTTTTTTTTTTGTTGTATTTTAGATGTGGTGAATCTAAAATGGAAACTTACACCACACCCTTCATAACTTTGATTGTATCTAGGAACTTGCATGAATAAATATAGTAATATCTGGAAATAAAACTATTGTGGCTTAAGTTGTTCAGTGTCACAAGTTCTATTGAATTTATTAAAATGATCTTATTGGTTTTTTTGGGGTGTTTTTTTGCAGGTGAGGATCGCCTCAAATTTTATCCTTCATGCTCCTCCAGGAGAATTCAATGAAGTTTTCAATGGTAAGTTTCAGTCATAATTATTTCTATGATTGTTCTTTTTACTCAGTACAAATGAAAATGGGGAATTTAGCAACTTCTTTGGTTTAATAAAAAAATAGAAACATGACATTTGCCTTACCCTCTACCCTAGAATCAAAAGTTGTGGGTGCATTTTTTAAAAATTTAACTAAGTGGTTCAGCTGTCTCACTTGTAGCACACTGATTAACAAAGTAATCAAAACCATATTAACAAAGTTAACATTATAAAATACAAATGGTTAATCTTGGATTTTAATTGAGACGACAACATTTCTTTTCTTATTAAGATGTGAGAATTCTGGTGAATGAAGACAATCTTTTAAAAGAAGGAGCCTCTGGGTAAGCTTTTGTGTATGGTCAGTTTAAATCTCTTTGCTTGTTTTCAGTGTGAAAATTTCAGTTCTATGTCTCTTTTAGAACTATTAAAAACTAATGACCAACATTAAAAACTAATGACCAACATTAAAAACTAATGACCAACATTAAAAACTAATGACCAACATAACTAAGACTTTATTATGTTTTTTAAAAACACAAAGATTAAAATAGCGACTTTACTAAGTATTTCATATATGATTAGACTAAAATTTTCATGTTAACACTGTTCTTTTTCAGAGCTTTTGCACAATATAATAAGGATCAGTTCACACCATGTAAAATAGAAGGTTCAGAATATCAGGTACATTCATTTTATCTGCTCTTATCTTATTTAGCTTGGTCTGAGAAATGTTATTTTCACAAAATGAATTACCATTTCACTCTAATTTTTATTGAACATCAGATAAGGCAAATGCTAATTATTAGATAATCTTTCTTCTCACAAATGAGATAGTTTCCCTTTATCCTAATGACCTGAAATTCTTTATTTTAATTTTAACAAACTGTTTACCCAAATGTTTTCTTTCAAAATTGGAATATATTAAGGGGAGAAATATCACCTTTGAGATATAAAGCCTTTATTTTGTATTGTTTGCTTTCGATCCTTATTTTTATTGCTCTTATAAATGAAGATAAAACTTCACCAATGGTGGCACAAAATTTATTGGATAAATGATTTTTAGTAAACTACTCCCTTTTCATGACTGAAATCTGCTTCAAATGTAAGTAAATCAAAAATACAAATGCTTCTTGACTACACACATTAACTCATTCCCTCCGGCAGCGCTGCTTCCGGACTTATTTTATTTTCCTGAGAAAAGGGAAGCAACTCAGTTTTGAAATTGATTTATATTTTTAAAATATTTTTTAAAGTTGCTAAATATTATTTAATGTTAATGAATTAAGAACAAATGCAACAAAAAATGAATAAGGTTTAATATAACTATAACATTAGAGGGGGAAAAATAACGAACAATGGCCAAAAAAATCGATTTTCGGCACCTCGGACGAACACGTGGTACATACAGACGCGCCGTACTAAAGCACACGTAATTTTAAAGTGAAACAAGATAAAAACTTCCGGTTTCTAAATTAAAATCACGCAGAAATCACGCCACAGCCGGAAGTCTCGAGGGGTGCGAGATTTCATTGCTATTTGTAACTAAAAATAAGAGAGGTGTGTCGCTATGCGCCGGGACGCATTTGGACGCATCAGTAGGAACCCCCCGAGGACACATTTAGTCGCAACCGTCGGGAATGAGTTAAGCCAATTCTTGAAGGATTTATGTCTCAAGTTTATACCGAGTCGTGTGATGAATTTTTAAAGTTGATGCAAGACATGAAAGATACTCTTCCTGATGTAGCTTTGGAGTATTTTGAGTCGAACTGGTGGAGTAAGGCCCATTTATGGGCAGCATCATCCAATGCTGATGTTTTAAGACTCCATGCGACAACAACAAATCACTTGGAGTCTTATCATGCCAAAATAAAAAAGAGTTTGACTCATTATCTTTCTTTTTCATCTGCTCTTCGTAACCTTATGTCTTTTGACAACTGCAAAATTACAGTATGTGATCGTTTAAGATTGCTTGCTGCAAACACAAAATTGTGACCAAAAGTAAAAGGAAAAAAAAAAAAAAAAAAAAAAAAAAAAATTAGCATGTGAAGAAAATGTCTTAAATAAATTTATAGACAGTGTAATTATGTGAACTAAGAATACAAATTAAAAATCACATTTTATTAAGTGGCATCACTGAGTTAAAAAAAGAATTGTGTTAGGACTATAAGATGTTTGCATCAGACTACAATATTTTGCCATAAAAAATTCTCTCTCCATGTCTTAATCCATGTTCTATGATTTTTTTCATTTTAACCATTACAAATTGCTTATGTCATTGGTATCCAAGTACAATATAAATAAATGCTTGCAATTGCTCCTAGAAACAGTTTGTATATTTCTTTCCAGGGTCACAAGCTGACTTTTAAAATACAAGTTTTAAATGTTATACTTTCTGCTTTGTCTCTTAGGCGCTTATAACAGAACATGGAGATCTAGGTAACAATAGATTTCTTGACCCACGCTCCAGACAAACGTTCCGATATGATCATCTGAGAAAAGAAGCTCAGGTATTTGCTGTTTTTTTTAAATTATAATTTTGCATGCACAATTTTAAAAACACAGTTTGGCTATAGTTGTTGGGTAGATACAGGCTATGTATGCTAACTCTCAGGGGACTGCTGCATCAGATCCCTTGGATAAACCATGTCGCTGTTGATGTTAACCAATTGAAATTTAAAGCATAAGAGAAATTATAAGTACCAAACTATATAATGAAGAATAGAAACCAAGAAATAATTCCATTCATAAATAATTTGTAACAGCAAGGAACAGGTATGAAATTAAAACAACATTGCCTGTTGAAAGTAAAGGGTTAACTCTGTTTTAAAAAAAACAAATGTTCTTACAATTATTACCCATTCTTTAATACAATAACCTATTCTTTACTATGTTTTCTTTTAGGATGTCCAACCTGCAGACATTGACCAAAGGGCTGAAGCTTGGCGTTCTGCAATAGAATCTGCCTTGACTGCGTACATTTCCGCACACTACAAATATGGTGTGACAACTGTCTATGGCAGTAGTGGAGATGGTAACATTACCATCATCGCCTGCATTGAGAGCCATGCCTTTGAACCTAAGAATTGGTGGTAAGATTTACCCGAGAACAGCACTTTCTTTCTTGTTTAATAGCGGGGGGGGGGGGGGGAGGAATCATGCGGTAATAGGAGGAATGAAGTAACATTACCATCATCGCCTGCATTGAGAGCCATGCCTTTGAACCTAAGAATTGGTGGTAAGATTTACCCGAGAACAGCACTTTCTTTCTTGTTTAATAGCGGGGGGGGGGGAGGGAGGAATCATGCGGTAATAGGCGGAATGAATTTTGTTATTAAAGTATATATTTTGATTACCATCACCCATTTTTTTAAAAAAAATCTTTTTTTTTACATTTTTTATTTTTTAAACATTTTTTTTGTATAATGTATTTAAACTTCTGGCTATATGTTTAAGATAAATTTAAAGAGATAGTTATAAGAGTTAGAAGCTTTCTGAGGTTATTGGTGAATTTAACAGATGTATGGAGCTATGCCCCTTTGCTTTGGTTTCCATAACAATAAAAAGAAGATTGGCTGATGTGGGTTAATACAATTAAGATAAATGTATAATATTATTGACCCACTTAAGATGGCTGGAGATCGGCCCAGGGTTGAATGGCAAAAAATTTATTTCAAAACTTTTTTAAACAAAATTCTGCTGTTAAGACATGTTTATTCTAAGTTTTTGAAAAAATTATGTGTGAATTGTGCAAAACAGGATATCTCATTTTCATAAATGTAGAGATTTCAGTTTGATCACAGAGATGGTATTAGTTCATTCAATTCCCAACAAGAATATATATATGTTTTATAGTTGTGAAGTTTTTAGTTTATTTTTTTATAATTTTTTTTTTTTTTTGCAATATGAGTGCCGAGTCTTAAAAAAGGGCTCCATCTTCTTGGAACAGACACTCCAAAAAGGCTCCATTTCAAAAGGTTTAATTTCTTATTCTCTTGAAAAAGAAACTTTAATGCTAACAATATAATTCAGCAGTTAACATACAAAATCTTCATACAGGAATGGAAGATGGAGAGGTCAATGGTCTGTTACATTTCCAGAGTCTGGTGGGTCAGCTGAAGTTAGTGGTTTGTTGAGAGTTCAGGTGAGGTCTAGTGAGCTTTATTATGTATGGGGATTTAAGTTTTTAATAAAAAATGTTTATTTTAAAAATATTACAAATTTAGTCTTACTTTACATTAAATGGTAAAGAATAAAAAGTCATGCATAGATTATTTTTTTTTAAAAGTAGTTTTTCTTGTCATTTTGACAGTTCATTCCTAGTATAATTAACCATGTAATATTATATAAATTTAAGTTCTGTAGCACAGCATATACAAATAGATTATATTATCACAAATGTCTTAAACGACTATACAGTCAAAATGACTAGTTTGTCACAACATTTAAGTTAGGTATTGGAACTATCACTCTGCTTTAAATTGTCAGGCACATTCTGGTTTCACTGTGTAAAGTTTGTTTCTGCAGGTTCACTACTATGAAGATGGAAATGTGCAGTTAGTAAGTTCAAAGGACATTAAACAAAATATAAAAGTACAAGTAAGTTTAAAGTCTATTTCCTTTTTCAAATCATTTTATTATTGTAAAACTTTATAATCTAAGTTTATTTTTTTAATGTAAATTAATTTGATTATTAAATTTGTAAGACATACATTTCATTGAATGTTTCAATTAATTTTAAAAAAATGTAGATCCTCAAAATTAAATAATTTTACAGATGAATAATACTGTTCCTGTCCCTTATGTTCGGCTGTCACTAATTTTAAAATGCCCTGTAACATAGCGTAACAAAGAGCGACCAAGAATAATATATTTGTCAGTTCAAGAAAAATTGATGAATGTCATTAGAAAACATTACCCAAAAGAAATTTTTTTACTGGCAAACTTATTTCATTTGATTTGTTTTACTGTGCACTCACCAGTGTCAAATGGAAAATAGTAATTAACAATAATTATATGTTATATCATGTAGTTTAAATGGCACCTTGTGCATCTGAAGGGTACAAAATCCTCAGATGCCGAATGGTGTTGTGTATTGTATTCAAGTAATATATTTGATTGATCACCCTTTACCTCTTGGATATATATATGTGTTTCAGAATGAAGCAGATACTGCCAAGAACTTCGTGCATCTAGTATCTGATGCTGAAGGGGAATACCAGCGCGCTCTTTCCGAGAATTACCAGACCATGTCTGACACCACGTTCAAGGCATTGCGTCGTCAGCTGCCTGTGACAAGATCCAGAATAGATTGGAACAAAATTCTTGGCTACAAAATTGGTGGGGAGATGAAAAGTAATAAGGGGGAACAGTATGACTAGTGTAAATCTTATGTAATTTATGAATTAACATTTAAAATTATTGTATGCTTTTCAGATGATTACCTTTTTTTTTTTTTCACCTTAAGAAGAATATGTTAATTGATTATCATTTATTGCAAACTTGATTTTTAGAGATTTCCATTGCAGATATGTTGGAACGTGTATTTATTATTATTTTTTTCTTATCTTAATATGGTATGATTGAGGTCCTCATATGTTCCATTTTTTAAAAATTATTTTTTATGTTGTGCAGCGCCTGTAATTTGTTTGAAAGATGTTGTGCTTGTTCTTAAAATATATATATTTTTGTAGGATGAGTAAACCCTCATTTCAACAGGCTGGCCAAGAACACAAGAGTCAAGTTTACTGAGGTTTCTCATATATTATTGTTTTCACTTTTGCGCATGATTATGTTTTGCTAGTGAGCCTAACTTTCAGCTCAAATTGCGGCTATCACAAGCTTCATCAACACAATTCATAACAGTTTGATCCTCCGTCTTGTAAAAAGTTTAACGTATGTTTCATTCTTTATTTTATTTTATTTTTGGTGGTATCGACACATATTGTTTTTTAGGAAACTCCCTTGTTTGGTTTTACTGTGAATTTATGCTGTTGCGGAATGCTTGCCTTAAGACTGTAGCCCAAGAGAATATAGACCTAAAACCACTATATGTTCTCTGGTCTTTTTTTTTTTTAGTCTTTATAAATTTATTTGATTACTGAAGTTGTCATCTCTCATCACAAGCTAAACTTTTAAGGAAGATATTATTTTCTTGTCTTCAGTAGGAGTTTTAGATTTCTATTGATATTTTATACATAAGTAATTAAAACAGTAGATAGTACCAAACAAATGTGGTGTAATATTGACAATAAATAACAAGGGGATATATGGTTTTCAAGGAATGTTCTGCTACTGGATATATCTGTTATACTTGATGCTAACTAACCAATATTATTCAGAAACTGTTGGTAGTCAGCTGTAACTGGGAGATTTTAAAGGCATCTGTTAATTAAGAATAATTGATGTATTAGAAGAACATGTTTTTGTATATGTATATCTCCCCATTTTCTGCATTTAATAAAGGCTGTTTTTATTAATTTTTTTAAAATATTATATTTGTCATACATCATGAAACCTGGAATCCATTTTTAAAAAATTATTGTAGTTAATGAAATATGTAATGTAAGTGTCAAATCATTTATACCATAATCTAAAAGTAGCAGCTGTAAATAAGAAATCAACTTTGAAATAGTAGCACATCTGTTTGAATTGATTATTATTGAATTGATCTTCTCCATTATTATATTTCTTTAAAAAAAATTGTTGAATCAATTTATTAATAGCATATTTACTGTTGGGTTTCAAAAAAAGAAAAAGTCTTGTCTGAATTAAGTTATACCTGACACCTATGTTTATGCTGATAAGAGCTATAAATATATTCTTTCAATTTGTTAAAAAGTTTTTTTTTAGGTTCAAGTTTCTTAACATTCTGTTTGGTATGATTTAATGTACAAAGGATGGAAGTCGCTGTAAATGGTTTTTTTTTAATAGTGTTTGTTTTTTTAACCCTGGTGGATATTCATTGATAAAATGGATGATGAAATAAATTGCTTTCTGTTCTTGTTTTTCCCCCTCAACACCCCATCCCTCATACATTAGTTTGATGGCACAACATGACGTAAAGTTATAGATAAGAATAATAACTCACAGATTCAAGCAATTGTAGTAGAGTTGCAACATTGTATTTTGATTACAGTTGGTAGATTCTAAGTTAGTGTCAGGTATTGGTATCAGTTTTATAATTCAGCTTGTTTCAACAAATCACTTGTGCGATGGAAATGGTAAACAGATATCTATGGTTTATAAGGGATGTTCTGTATTGTTAAGTCAATTTTAACTTAGTATTGTTTGTCTTTCCTGCTAATTTTTAGTTATAAGCGAATTTATAGAGAAGAAAGAAGTGTAGAGGTGAAACAATACTGTGGATAAATGGAGTTCTGTGCTTAAGCACTTAATAAATGATCAAATGACATCTCATTCTTGGATTCTCTGCTCTATGAATTTTTTTAAATTTTCATTTTGCCAAATGGGAGATGGTGGTTAAACCTTTAAACGTTTATTTTAATGATACTCTAACTATGATTGCATGCTTTTGTTATTTGACATTAAGAATCTTTCTTTTAAACAATTTCTTAATGAAAAGTTGATTGTTAGCGAAATAACGGGACATGGATAGGTGTCTGTTTTGTGAGATGGTAGCTATCATATACTTATATTTTTATTTTTAAAGAGCACACTAGGCATTAGGTAATCATTTTAATTTTTTCTGGGTGAATAGGTTGTAATGTTATAAGTTTTCTTGATTCCTTTAGAGAAGCAATTGTGTGTCATACGATAGATTATTAGCCAGAGCTTTTGACAAGCAGCAAAGTCATCACTAAAATTGTTACTGTAAATTCATGTAAATTGATATGAAAAAGTTATCATGCTTCTGTCGTTGCGTGTTATGTTCTACATTGACTATTGCATTAGTGCATTCAGTTTCCAGTGATCCTTGTTTTAAATTAAGGCCGAAAATTTACTGATATGAAAAATTATTATTTTATCATTTGTAGATTCTAGTGTGCTTTCTAGACCATGATACCATTCCTGACAGTTGCAAGATCAGCACAGACTTAACCATGTTTCAAAAACTACTGCTGACTTTATGCAGTGCTATTTTTCAAATGGATGTTTCATACTTTTCTTTTCTTTAAATGCCAATATTATATTTACTGTAAGCTCTTTATTGAATGAACCTGCCACTCTTGAAATGATAGAAGCTCTCTAAGGACTAGGATCATACTTGATCGCCTCATACTCTGATGGAAGCTCTGGGATCAGACTTGATTGCCTCATGCCCTGTTCAAGCTAAAGCTGATGTTTACTCGCACTTTCACTCACAAACAATATATTATTATTGATTATAATAAAAGCCAATACTTATAATAAAAACCATTTATGAGCATGATTGATAAACTGGAATTACAAAATTTGTCTTGTACTCAATGATTTTTTTTCTTCAAAAAAGCAATTTGTTCTAACATGGTTTCCATAAGGATGTAACATTTTTAGTCTGTTGTTAGGGGTTTTAAGCTTTTGTAGAAATTTAGGTTGTATATTCTAATACAATGAGTCTAAGTCAGGGGTTGGGAACCTATGGCTTGCGAGCCAGATGTGGCTCTATTGATGGCTGCATCTGGCTCGCAGACTAATGTTGGATTATAAAAAAAAAAAGTCGCATTAATGGTAAGAAATACTCATTATTGATTAGCAACAGCATAACAATGTTATTAAAAAGAATTCAGAGACATAATTATTCCATTTCTAGTGTTGAAATTACACAAAACGCACACATTTACTTGAATTTTTAGTTATAAACATAATATATGGCTCTCACAGAATTACTTTTCAAAATATGTGATGTTCATGGCTCTCTCAGACAAAATGGTTCCTGACCCTTGGTCTAAGTAATACAAAGATAAGAGACAGAATTTAAGAAAAAAAAGAACAATTTTTTTATATGACTGAATTGCTCATTGATGCCCACAGAAGTTTTTTGTAAGGGGGAGCAAAGTGTTTTTTAAATTGTTGGAACTTGTTTAGAATTTACACAACAAAAGCATTGGGAATTAATGTCATACAACACTTAAAGCAACCAATGACAAACCCAAATCAATTTATTTTATGTCATGTAAATAAATTATTAAAAGGATGTGTTTTAAGAAAAACATTTCTATGCCTATCTGCCGTAAGAGTGGAGTTGTTCCCCTTTGGCTGGGGTTTCAAATGATGAAATTCCCGTGTGCCAAGAATTGAATGGGTTAATTAAGTTTATGCCAATCTACCTATATCATGCTATAGCTTACATATTGTAGTATTAAGAATTCTAAAAATTAAATTTTTTGACCACATATCCTCTGATGACATAAACTTATGTCATTGCATCGAAAATTATGGTTGAGATGTATAACTAGTAGGCTATATGACTGCTCAATTTAGATTAAATAGCAAAAAGACAAATATCATCATCCACGCATACATGAACCAACGGCAAGACATTCTACAAGTGTATTTGTTTAATTCCACGTACCGGTACATTATTTTGCATCACCTGTGGGTGGGTCAAGTATAGAGCTGCTTACAATCAAACAGTTATTGCATTGCATTTGAGAAAAGTCAACAGAAATTCTTATTGATAAAATCAACAGGTCGAATGATTTGTTTTTGACATACCGATACGTATGTACTGAAATTGTTTTTAAAATATGCTCAATAGCCGTTACAAAGATTATTTAGTGGATAAAGTTATTCTTTTTGTATCTTTCTGATCTTGGGAAAAAAAAAAGAAAACAAGAATTCTGTTCAAACGAAAACCCTTGAATCTGTTAATAATTACTACTCACACTTAAGTTAAGGGGAGTCGAGGGGGGAAAATCACAAATTTGTTTGGCTTCATATGGGAATTTTTTTACCTACACCTTTGGTATTGTGATGGAGGTACAGAGCAGGTTTTTAAAAAAATTCCATTCCATTGGTTGATGTTCTCATCTTCTTCCCCCAATGGTTGGTATATGATCTATTTCCTCCAACATTTGGGGTGGTAAATGATCTCCTTCCCCCAATGGTTGTGGTGGTAAAGTAATAAATGGACTCCACCCAAAGTATGTGGTGGTAAATGGTCTTCCCCAAATGGTTATGGTGGTAAAATGGTAAATGTTCTCCTTCCCAGAAACAGAAAACGAACCAATCATAAGAAAAAACTAAAACATGAAAATTATTATTGTATTGGCTTTTATAATCTTTTTCAGCAAAACACCATGTTCTATTTAAAAAATCAAAACAATGAAAGTTGTGAAAATTAGGATATGTCTGATTATACTACTGACCATCAATATTAAACACAAACAGAGAACACAAAATGCATATGAACTCAAAAAACTGAGCTGTGCCTGAATCTAAAAATAACAAAGACAGAAATCATAAAAAGCTATAGTATATCTACATAATAATATTGAATAAAGCCATGCTTCAGAAAATCATCCAAAATAACCATTATGGTATTTTTTGAAACATATAAACTAATGACAAATTTTATAAACCGCAGATAGGGGCCATCCACATAGTACATAACCAAAAAAAAAGTCAAACTCTTTATACAATATACAAATAAGCTTATTCAATATTCCATTCTCAGTGCAATATTTAACAAGTTCATTTGTGAAAACACAAAGCAACAGTATAATGATAATCACAAATCATTGTGTGATATTTTTATAGCGTTAGACATATAAACAGGCTATGCACAGTCATGATAGGATAATTATTGCAGAATTTGTGAAAATTGGTACACACCCATATGCAAAATCTCCAAAAGCAACACCCCCCCCCCTCATTTTCTCCTTAGTACATACATACTATATGGATGGCCCTTTAGTGGTTTTCCATATTGTTTTATTACATTGTCATCTTTATTAATTCACTTTAAATTTCTACAGGACTGGTCAAACATTAGACACAATTTCTAGCTATTCTTTAAACAGAGGCTCAAACTCCAATGTTTGCTTCAGTTTCCCTCAACTAAATTTTAAAATAGATATGTGTAATTATATAGTAACTGAATAAGTATGCATTGAGTGTAAATTCATTCAAGATCAAAGAGAGATAAAATATTATCAGGGTGTAAAGAAGAAAAGGTGGGCAAAGCTTATCACATTAAAAAATAAAAGCATTCTTATTATTTTTAGATATGAAACAACAATATCATGATTCCTTTGTCCAACTAAAGAACTAAATGCCCTCAAAATTATCTGCCAGCATAATAGGTCTGTAGAGGTGTGTGTAGTTGTTCAACATACAAGCTCACATTGGGATCTGAAATGATTTTTTTCACCAATAAGTGACTGATTGTAATCAGTGAGCTTACAAAAATTATAGCTAAGACGATTATTATTTTTTTTTTAAATGCAGTTAAAGAAAACATTTCATTAAAATATATTTGTTAAGAGACTATGAAAGCTACTTTAAAAAAAAAAATGATTATGAAGTTTAAAAAAAACAAAATGCTGGTTTTGAAAAAGTAAACTAAGATTTATTTGATAAAGATGTTAAAAAAAAAAAAAGAAACTCTCGCTTATTTATCAGAAAGGCTGTTAAAGAAAAGTCTTAGAATTTACCTGCATCTGCATCTAGGAGACCATGTCGAATGAGAAACTCAAGACAAATAGCAGCACAATTGGGCTTGAAATTTTCCTCAACTATTAAGTTCTTCACCTTATGTTTTCCAAACCAAAGACAAGAACAGCCATAGATTATACAAAGACATGAATAAATGAACAGTTCACTATTTACCTAGGCTAGGTGTGAGAAATCCATGTCGAATGAGGAATTCAAGGCAGACAGCCCCAGTCGCCGGGGCGTAGTTTGTGTTCTTATACTCTTGTTTGAGCTTTTACATGGAATTTAAATAAACACAAAGATGTACATTCATTCTAAGCACTATTTTTTTTAGGGATGTCTGACAAGAAATAAAGTGGGTGTATTATGAAACTTTCTGTTGTAAGAAAATCTGGGCCACGTTGATAAACTGCAAGGTTTGGTAAAAATTTGCTCAAGTGTTTCACCGCCTACAACCACAAGAGAGCTATTCTTTAAAATTAATCTTGTACAACTGATAATTTAATTTTGATTGCAAAAAGTAATAAGAAAATGGTAATGTGTAAGTTTTACCAAAAAACCTCTCTCTTCTTTTCTTAGCTAACGGTACTTAAACTTAAAGTTTATGTATATGTTCATGTCAAATAACTGACCTCATTCATAGTGAACAGTTGAAAGCTTGCAACCTCTCCATCAGCATTTACTGGTCTGAAGTCATTAGGGAGTTCAAGGTCATAAATAAACTGACACTCTGGAAACAGCCCCCGCTCATCCTCATAAAAATAGCTGCCACGGAAAAAAAATTAATTTAAATCAGATATACCTCATTAAAGGCCCTTTTACAAAAAAATTAATCCGCTAAAAAAAAAGGCTATGAAGAAAGAAGTCACAAATGGCAGGCAGTGAAAATTATAATTTTAAAAATGTATTTAAAAATAACTTCATAAATTTTCATCTATTAAGTTTGTGAATAGGCAATGGAACCTGGCAAGCTCTCACTACCTCATGGTTCCTACAAACTTTAGGCCATCAAGAATGTCATCAGAAACACTTGCCTCCTCCTTGCACTCTTTCTTCACACATTCCAGCACTCCCAAGTCGGCAGAAAGCCCTCCAGCACACTAAAACAGTGATTTAAACAAAATTAAAAGCTGGAATTTAAAAGCTAAATAAAGCAGAGATTTAAAAAATCCTCTAAGATCATGTATGCTAATTTATTCAATGTGTTTGCAATAAAAATACATGAATCTTTTTATTTCTTAACATAGAACAAAATTTTAGTTCAAAGGATGGACCAAAGGTCATAACAATCAACTGCCATTAAAATTAATTAGTAATTTCAACAAATTTACAAGGACATTTATTAAATTACTCTGAAATCTGCCTTTTTTTGTTGTTGAAAAATTAAAATGTTTTCTCTTCCCCTTTCCAGTAGTCCCTGTAAAATGATGTTCTGATAAATTTTGTCCAAAGATGCCACAAAAAGTCAGACTTCAGCATGCTTTGGTTATCACCCCTGAGGAGCTTTTTCTTACCACATGAAAAAGGGATTGAAGTGGGAGGGGGTGCAGAAAAGAGCTGGTGCTAACATTGCGAGTTGCTGGGTCTGTGTCACCCAACTGTAATTTAAAATTTGCTTTTCTGTATAAGTACATTTCCGCACCATATTGTCATACATATCAGGAAAAGTCTGTTTAGTTTTAGATCTCCTGCCAATCCACATCATTATCTGACCATCTTTGTCCCTCATATAGCCATTCACATGTATGCCATACTGGATAACCCCAAATAAACCTGAGGAAAAAAGGAGACAAAATTTAACCCTTAAGTAAAAATAAAATGAGTTTTAAATGAGAGATTCCCCATTAACAGGTGAGCACTGACAATACATGAGTAATACCATACTAAGTAACATAAATATTATTGAAATTTTGTAAGAAATATTAATCCTAAATTTGTAAACATATTACCAGTATACCAAATTTTGGAATTTTATTTTAATAATCTTAACTTCACTTTTAATTCCAAAATAACTATTAAAAACTTCAAAAACCCTGTGAAAAATAATGAAAGTGAATAAAGAAATATTAATTGTGAGACTTACCTGAACAAGCTCTTTCTATTTCCAAGAGAGCTGTATCTGTGTATCTCTGAGAAACTTTGTAGTTCTGTATAAATAGAGAATGTTAATTATTTTCTCTTTTATATAAATGTCCTAAAGGTGACTCAGCATATGTAGAAAGATAGAATGAATGCAGAGAGAGTAAGAGAAGGGTAAGATAATTCTGCAGCAGTTCTTTATTATTCGAACAATGTATAGTCAGAGTATGTATTTATTGGAAAAAAATATTATTGTTATTACCGGTAGTAACATGTTTTTCTACAAAGATAAACTTCTCAACATTGAGACAGTTATTCAATGGGTGCAAATTGTCTTATAATCAGTTTATACCCTTTATCAGTCACCCAAAACTCCTTTTAGCCTAAAATTGAAAAAAAAAATTAAAATCTTAAGTTGTTATTAATATTAACTTTTCCTAATCATTTTACCTCAGGATGATGTAAAAAGTATAAAATATTTTTTATTTCAAAAAGATAACAATTTTTACCTCATGTCTCCACCCTCTTAATGCTGGAATGACATCCTTTTTTCTTAAATCTTCCAGCATGTTACCAACAGCTGTCGTTCTCTCTTCATATGTTTGAAAGTTGGGGGAAAGATGTATGCCAGCCTTTTTATTATTGCTAGGTTTGTTCAAATCTGGGTCTACAAGGTACAGAACATCTGTATAATTTTTTAGATATTTCCAAAAATCTGGTCTGATGAGTCCAACTTGTTTGTTATCAACAAAGAAAGGTTGACAACCCCTTGCCAGTGCATCTATAGGAGATCAAAGGAAAACACATTTGAGCATTAGAAAAATAAATATAAAAAGGGGAAATAAGTTCACAAGAGTGCTGGTATTTTCAGATACTCTTAATCATAAGCCATTCATCACGATTTGAGGAGGTGCAGTAAAACAGACACTGCACCATCGACATCATCTACACAAACTAATTTCTAAGACTAAATAATAATAATAATAATAATAATAATAAGAGGTCTTATATAGCGTGGTAGGGCTGGGCTCACCGCGCTGTACATAAAAATTTTATCAAAAGAGACATAATCATGACATTAAAATAAAATACATTAATGAAATAAAGAACAGCAATGTACATTCACCCACCCCACCACATAACTTTTACAAGGCAAACCATGGACGGCAGCCAGCAAGATCGTTTATCGGTCAGAGGAGGGGAATCAGTCAGGGTAGTATAATTTAAAAATATATCTCATGAAGGATTCCAACAATAATAAATTTGTTGAATAAGAATTTGCCTAGTAAACGTTTTATCATTTATGTTATTGACTGTGACATTTTTTAACTTAGGAGCCACCCATAAATGATGTCAAGCAAATTTTGCATATTTTGGACTCCCCTCCCACATCATCCCATAAACTTAGAGACCCCATTGAATATAAAAAAACAAAACCCCCCCCCCCCCCCCCCCCCCAAAAAAAGGATCAATTATTAAAAAAGAATGTTTCAGCTCACCTAATGATAATTGAATAATAATGCTCCCATTCAATATCATTTTCTTCATTGTAGATTGTAAAATTAATAACTGGGCAATTTTCAGTTTGTTTGTTCTTCTGTTTCCTATCTAAGATCATTAGGCCCGTGAGCATACAAGTAAAGATCAGAAGAGAAATTCACTCTGCCCACTACTGTAGGGACTATGAAAATCTCAAGCGCACGCAATCAACGCATACCGAAAAATGACGCAAAACTGTTGTGGCCATTTTACATTCAGCTCAGGGAGGATTTCGTTGTTTTGCGGTTTACGCCGCAGTTTTCTATTAATAAATTGTTGTTTTTTCAGTGACATAGAGCGCATATTTTTCAAAACACTGCGATATTCATATTTGCATCATGGTGTATCTTGAGACTGGCAACAATTTATACTTTTGTATCGGTATGTACTTTAATAGTTTATTACTTATTAATGTAAAGTCATAGGACACAGTGGTTTACCGTAGCACTGCTTGATAAATTCACAAAGAGGAATAACTTTGTTTCATTAATAATAGCAATTGCAAAATAAAGTTATGAATATTTAAAATTTCACTGAAATTGTCAGTTGTCCCCCATTATCCCCCTTCACAAACAAAACTTGGGTTGTCGGAGATGGCTCTTCTTATCATTTTAATATAATGATAAAAAATATTTTTTATTATTGTTCATCTTCAAAAATCTGCAGAACACTAACTGTTTAATGAATGAGAAAAGTTTTATAATATTTTACGAAAAATTAATACAATGCCATAAATTAAAGAGTTTTATTAATTTTACTTTGTGTAGTTGGGTGAATTTTGGAGGGGAAATAAGGGGAGAGACTGCAATCAGGTTAGCACAATGTAGAAAAAAGAATGCATAAAACAGAGTAGGGTTAAACCTGAAAAAAGAAACGCAACAAAACAACGAACGTGTCAGCAGAAAGCCTTCATCAGCGAACAAAACAACAGAAAAAACGGTATAAAAATAAGAAATAGCACTTAGCTTGGACTTAAGATATGTGTACAAGTACAAGTAATATAAATTATAAATTTAAATCTTTACCTTCCAGAGTGACTTTATTTAAAGATCTTAGTAGCTTGAGAATTCCATTGGAAAAAATGACATAGCTGTCCATTTTGAAACAATGTTGGCTTTAAAACTCTATAGTCTGTACTGAAGTAGTTAGACTTTGGCAAATGATATAATAAATACTTATCGAATAACTACCGGTACCTTCGTCGTTTAAGTTTAAGAAACACTTAAACAGAAAGGAGAAAGACCTCTTTTTTCTTTTGAGTTTAATTTTGTTATAATATTATTGTTCATGCACATTCTCCGAATCAGTAAAGTCTCAACATTTAAAATTGCAGTCAGAGTAGGCTACCTTGAATAATAAAAATGGCAGCCTCCGCAAAGTCAGCGAATGATGCAAAAGAAAGTCAAACAGTCATCGAGCCATCTGATAATAAAAATCCACCGCTGACAAAGGAAGAAGATTTTGGTTACTACTTTTATCCTGATAGAGACAAAAAGAAAAAAAGATCTTTATTTGAAAGAGCATTAGGAAGAGATAACGTGCACAATTTTAAATGCACCACTCATGTAAAAAAGTGCTTGGCAAGTAGTAAGTTTTAGTTTTATCTTCAAATCTGTTTAAAACTTAAAGTTTAAATTGCCTAAAATTGATTTAACATTAGAATAGACATAGTTGCTAATTTATGCCTGAGTATGGCTATGGACTAGTTGTAATTTAATGTGTGTTTGAGTTTGAATTGGATAACCGGTTATTGCCGGTTAAACTTAATTATTTAATATTTAATAAATAGATAAATAAATAACTTGACTTTGACTTAATAAATAAGTCATAAGTAAAAGTAGGGACCTCGGTATGATCCGGGAAGTGCCGAAAACCGGGTATTGTGATTTCGTTGTCAAAATGGCGACCTCCACTTTTTAATTTACCGAGGGTAGTGTTGTTTAGGATTATTTTTGCTAAGCCTAAAGTTAGTTTTTTTTAATAAATTCTACTTCTGCCCTCAACTTAAAGCAGACATGTTTCTTGTTCATTTGACATAGGGGTGTGCCGGAGTCCGGTCCGGAATCCGGTTCCGCCGGATTTTGCACTATCCGGTGAAATCCGGTTCCGCCGGATTTACATGTATCCGGAACAACCGGATTCCGGAATCCGGAATATACCGGATTTCGGAATTTGCCAGATTTTGTGACTCACCGGATCATAATCTGAAATAAAAGTAATTCTCTTTCCCGAATTCCACACGATCACGATACATTAATCGATTGTTTCGAGCGTTGAGCTTGTTTAATGTTTAATATTCCGTACATACCAGAGGCTAGAGTCAGCACCGCTAATAGTGGCCAATAGTGTAGGGACTTTGATAAGAAAATTTAAACTTTTTGTAAAAATAAACCAATGGCATAGTTGAAAAGATGTAATTTTTTAAAGAATTATAACACCAAAATCATATTTTTAGCTGTTGTAGTTTTAAAGTTATGAATTTTTAAAGTACGACTTGGTTTGTCATTTTTTAACATGGACTGCATCTCCACATTCTGTGATCTCATTCCGCCAATCCCGTCATGCGCAATGACTATATAGTTTATATAAGGCAACGCATTCCCTGCCTTATCACTAAAATACTGTTTAGACTTAGTTTAAACTTTCAACTTTGGCACATGAATAATTAATTAAAGCTTTCCCTGACCAATGGTTTAATAGTTTTTGCACACGGCAAACTCTTATGAATGAAACTCTGAGGTAGTACTACGATACAGTTATGCAAGTGGCTGTGAATGGTTGCCAATGACAACGTGTTGCACACGGTAAATTCTGATCATTTATAATATGGATTCTACCGGGTTGTTAAAGCTCAAATTAAAACATTCCAGTTTAAATGTCTTTAAATGCATTCTGAAACACAAGTTATCAATTATTTTGATGTAAATAGTGATAATATATTAATATTTCCTAAGTATCGTCAACTTCCGCCATTAAAAAGGGGGGCGTGGCCAACCCCATGGCGAAATTAGGTTGAGCGAGCTGCATGACCGGCTGCGAACGCATAGAAACATGGCGTCTCTCGTAAGACACATATCCAAATGGAACGGAACTCAAATATATATCGAAAGTACTAATTTAATAATAAATAGACACACACATCGGAAAATTAAAAACTCTGATTTTTTGGCGCCGATTGCGAATTCCCATACACAAAAAGTAGTAGTCCACCTTGACTTACCGAAGTATCTACCAATAGTACCAAAATCCGGAATCCGGGAGAAACCGGAATCCGGATTATTCCGGAATCCGGATTATTCCGGAATCCGGATCCGGCGGATTTCGCATAAGAAAATCCGGATCCGGTTGGAAAAAACGGATCCGGCACACCCCTAATTTGACACTTTCCTTTTAGAAAAAATTTGATGGTTTGACTTTGAAAATAAATAATAGCTAGTAATTTGGTAAATAATAGCTAGTTTGACTCATTCATAATTTTTTGGTGGAAAATATAAGTTTAAAAAAAGAAAATACCAATGTTAGATGAAGGCATAATTAACAACATATCCAAAATTCGTGTGGTTAGGACCAGTGCATCGGTGAGAAATTTTTGCACAAAATTTTTGTCACATGTGTCCCAAAATTACCTTTTATCGATAATGAACGTTTTTGTAGTAAGTAGCTTGATTTACACTGGAAATCCAACATATTACCCACTAATAATATTTTAAAACAAAGCAACAATTTAAAAGCACTAATTACTTTTTATCTGAAGCTTTTTATTTTGAGTGAGGAAGTGGGATAAATAGCCCTATCCTTATTGTATAATGACAACTAATAGTATAAATAATTACATAAATATATATATATATATAGATCCATCTATCCTATAAGCCTAGTATAGTATAGCCTATAGTAGCCTATAGGTCTAGTACCATCCCAACTTATTATTGCAAGACCGATTAATAAACAATTAACTATTATAGTTAATGATATTTTAGGCCATGTAATCATATTTTATTATTTAATGGAAATTATGATTCTTAAATTTTAAAATAAAAATGTTTTTAAAAAAATATTCACTTACCTTTGATATTGAAATATCCTGAATTCACTCACAAATCACAATATTCCACAAGAAACTTATATAATCCTCAGTATTCTTCAAGAAATAACACACTTTCTGTTACAGTAATCCAAGAATTTCTTAAGCTTTTACTAAAGAACAATCATAAAAGCTTGTACTTACCTCAAGCAAATGACTAGAACGTATTTTAATTTCTATCAACAGCCAAAGTTGATACATGTTGATTTGTGAAACAAGATTACTAATTTTTTTGGTCATATTCAAATGGGACTAAAATACATACATAGAAAATGGTAAAATAAAAAGTATAATCGTCAATTTTATATAAATGAATCAAATAATCCCTGTATTATTTGTTTATACTGATAAAAGTTAAACAATTCCACAGAAAATTTGAAATTAATATCTGAAGAATATTAGTATTATTATTAAATCTGGGAAATTTTAAACAATTATATTTAAGAAAAAATTAATTAATTAATACAAGTAAGTGACGAGTCAGCATATTTTATTCATTTTTAATAAGGAAAATTATCAAGATTAAAAATATTTTTTTGCGGAATATTATCAAGAACTAAAATTGTATTTTGTGGCTTTATTTAGAAGAACTCATATTTACCTGTGTTCCCTGAAAATATCATATTTTGTCTCATTTTATAACAAAGTTATAGGCATACAAACAATAGCATTATGAGGGTGATGAAATGTGGAGGAAAATCCCATAGTGAAAAAGGAGTTTTGAGGTCCTTACTAAAAAAATTCATAACTTTTGAACCACTTGAGCTAGAAAGTTGATCTTGGTGTTTTTGTAAACCATTATATGGGCTTTATACAGCTGTAGTATTTTTAAAAATGTTTAGAAATTTTAATCAAGGGGCCTAGTGTAAGACTTTGTATAACTGACCATGATAATATTATATAACTTGTGATTTCATTTGAATTTGCCTTCTGGCATTTGGGGTAGTTTTGAAAAAAGACTGGTGTCGGGTAGGGCAAGAATCACCTTTAGCATAAATGGCATGATAGGCGATGGGTAGAGCTCAAACTCAATGCTTCCTTCCTCATACTCATATTTGCTTAAGAATGATCCAGGATGAACTTAGCAACTTAATTGTATCCCTCACTGGCCTCAGATATTTTGCAAATCCTGTTTATGCCTTGCAGTCCCTTTCTTCCCTCGCATAGTCTCAATTCATTTAAATTGCTAAATTGCAGGTTTTTAATACTGTGCCTGTGCCCTGCAAATTATAGACATTTTCAAAAGATTATTTAGAATAAGTTGTAATTAATATAATCTGATATCAGTAAAAGGGTGGAAATAGGAATTGTAACATTTATTGTGCATGCCCATAAAAAATTGCGACCTGTGAAAACTGATTCACACAGGACTCAAATCGCCCTACTCAATCAATGCAACCTTTATTGATTAGGATGATCTCCTAGAAAACAGTGCACACATCTCTATTTAGATATCATTTAGGATTAAACAATTTATTCAAAAGTTTTCCTTTCTTGTCCTGTTCAGAGAAAGGAAAGATTTTAAAATTAAAGGTAGTTTACAAAGAATGCACTGATCAGTAAATTGCTTATGTTTATACTCTGGATCCTCATATACCACAATAATTCAAACAATTTACGCAAATAATACCTTTAATTATTATTAGTAAAACCAATATTAACAAAGAGGCCTAGCCTTTTAACGTTTACGGGCATTGTTAATATAATTTCTTTTAGTTTTGGCAAACTATCCCTACTCTAGAATAGATTTGCCACTTAGCTAGTAAAAGCTCCTATATCCATTTTTATTGTTCTAAGACTAAGATACTGCTGCAAGGTGTAATGAACACTTCCCATCAGAAGGAAAAGTCTTTATTAAAAATATAATAATGTAAAGTAGTGAATTATTATTGGTAACTTTTTTTCAGATCCTAAAGTTAAGCTGATGGTGGGAGCTCTAGAAAGTTATGGATGGTAAGAAATTTAAATATTTATAATTATTTTATTTTCCAACTTAAAATAAAACAGACCTCTTTTTGGTCTGCTTTATCATAATTTATGTAAATTTAATCAAATGAAAAATAATATTTCATGCTAGTGTGAACTTATTTGTGTAGAAACTTTGAATCTCATTAGCTTCCTCAGTGTGTAAGAGCTTTGAATCTTTATTCCATATTTTATTTTTGGAAGGAAAACAATGTCCTGAAATATAATATTTGTATTAATTGATAATTTATTTTAACATATATAATAATATATTTACAGAGTAGGCCCTACTTCTAAGTGATCCTCCTCACAGTGTACAGCTAAATTTCTTCTTCTTCTATATCTTAAGGGCCCACGATCAATCTATTGATCATTTTGGCACCTATGCATGTAGATGGGATTTGCAATGTTTCTGTTACTGGTGTTGATGAGGAAATCATGCACTAGGGGTTTGAAGGCTTGAGGCAATAGACACAAATGTGTCTAGTGTTGTCGCCTCAACCGTTCCTTTTGAAAGATGGTTCCAGTCCCTGATAATTGTCTTGGGCAGGAATGAGCAGCTCCTATACTGGCTTCTTGCTGGTATGAGCCTGAATTGCCTGTTATGGCCTCGTCGCTGTCTATGGGGGAGAGGGACGAGTTTCTGTTTAATACTGGAACAGTGGACCAGCCCATTATTTATCTTGTACATCATGGAGAGCCTGGATTGTCGTCGTCGTTTCTCCAATGGTGACCAGCCTAGTGTTTCTAGCATGCTGCCAACACTAGAGGTATTCCTGTAGCGGTTTAGGACAAAGCGTGCTGCTCGTCGCTGGACCGCCTCCAACCTGTCAATGCTCTTCTGGGTAAATGGGTCCCAGACTGAAGATGCATAATCTAAAATCGGACGGATAAAGGCTTTATATGCTCTTTCTTTCACACAGGAGTTGCCATTCTTTAGATTTCGCCTTAAGAACCCTAGGGCTTGGTTTGCTTGGTTACATACATTGTTAATATGCTCGTCCCAGCGGACCTCTCTTTGAATGGTAACACCCAGGTACTTTACGGAGGAAACTTGCTCAAGTATATGGCCGTGCAGTTCGTATTGGTAGTGTAGAGGAGTACAACTTCTAGAGATTGATAGTGTCTGGCACTTGGCAGGGTGAAATTCCATGTCCCAGCTCATCTCCCACTCAGCTAACAGATTGAGATCCTGTTGTAGCTGGTCCTGGTCATTATAATTCCAAGATGGCATCCATTTTTACAAGATGAATGGGAGTTTACTTAGTTTATTTAATCATATATTTGTTTGTTTTTTTATTATTTAATGCAGATATTTATATTGAGAGTAACCTTGAAAAAGATGTAATTTTCACAATTGCAATTCAGAAATTTCAAAGTTATAAAATATAATTATAACTTTTTTTTCAGATAAACTAGATGAAAGTGTACCTGCATACATACATTCATGTCACCTTTGTATTGTATAATGACTTTCAATTCTTTTTAAAAAGTTCGCACACATTTCAATCTTTTTGCAGTCCTGTGGAATTTAGCAGACACATTTCGTGTGAACCGTGTTTGGGCACAGTCAGTGGTGGGTTTGATCCCAAGTCTATGCAGGTCTTGTGACTTATCAAACACTTCGATAGTTTAGGTTATAATAGCACATCTTTTGTTTATCAAATCTGTTTTAATTAAAAACTTTCAAAAATGTGTGAACCTTATTTTTTAAGAAACGTCAATGTTAAAATGAGCCGAGTTTATACTGCATCTAATCTTACAAATTTGATTTTTCAGGTTGTTGTGTGTCAGAATAATGTACGAAATACAGACATTTGTTGCAATGTGTTAGCTCATGAATTGCTTCACGCCTTTGATTTCTGCAGGGCTAAAGTCAACTTTGAAAACTTGAGACATTTGGCCTGTACAGAGGTGAATATTTTTATTTTTGCAGCCAAATATCTGTCAGTTAATATTTTTTTATAATTTTGAATAAAGTAAGTCTCACAGGTCAGGTTTATTCAGAATGTTATGTACGCGCCCCCCCCCCCCCCCCCCCCCCGCCCCCCCCCCCNTCGCGCCCCTCGCGCCCCCCCTCCTGGGCCGTCATTTAAAAAAACAAAAACAAAGTAAGACATGAAAAATATTTACAATAGACCACATTTATAATTATATCTCAGTGTATCCAGTGCATAAGAATGGATGGCACCTTTTTTTTCTTTATATGGATAGAAGCATTTTCAGCAAACTGCACTAAAAAGTGTGTGGTGATGGGAGAGGAAAAAAATTCTTGGCCCTAACCCTAGCTATGCCGAGCACACCTGCTGTATTCTGTAATAATTTGTTTTCTGGAAAGCTTTCTTAAATTGGGATTTTTATTATCAATTTATGATTATTGGGAATATAATGTCTTTGTGCTAATGTCGTAATTTTTGTTAAAATAAGAAATTAGAAAGAATTAATTAAGTTAGTTTCCTAAAAATATAGATGTCTTATTTAGCTGACTTTATATCAACAGATCAGAGCGGCAAATATGTTCCACTGTTCTCTTGGAGCAGCTATCAACTCTGGGGAAGCCTCAGTATTCAACATAAAAGAAAGACATCAGGTAAAAGGGTGTCTACAAACAAGCAATGTAAAGTCATTCTATATAATATTGTAATTAGGAAAATATGAAGGCATTTCATTTTGGCACATGAATTTTGACATTATGGATATTATAAATGACAAGATGGTAAATAATTTACGGTGGATTTGGTTTTTAATATTATAAGCCTTTGAATATTTAAAATTTTTCCTTACAAACTAGCGGTTCATATTATTTATATAAAACAGTAACAAAGGAATTGTGTGCATATTTTCAGTTGTGTGTGAAAAACAAAGCTCTACAGTCTATTATGTTGGTGCGTAATGTAACAAAATTGGAAGCCATGACCATTGTTGATGAAGTCTTTGATAGATGCTACAACGATACAGAACCATTTGGCAGAAGATGTTTTAAGAACCTTGGCAGGGCACAAAGAGCGTTAGACGAGGCAAGGAACTACTATGACCTGGATTAATGTGTGTGAGATTTTAATGTAGTGTAAATGTGATAGAAATTTGAATGAATTATTTACCAATTGGCATTGTGTACATGTCTGCAATGGTCAGTTGTAATAAGCTGTGTGATAGTACAATGTTTTATAACTTATTCACTTGACAAGGCTGCTGTAGAATATTATAATAATTAAACGAAATAAAGGCTAATATGATTATTAATTGGCTTGCTGATTATCTATTGTTCATTGAGATAATCTACTAAAAAGATATGAATGGACTTTCTTACCAATGCGTTATGCAGGCTATTTACTTGATTACCTTTTTCCTTTAACTTTAAGATGGACCCCACTTAAACATCCAGTGATAAATACTTCACTTCCTGTTCCTCCTACTGTCTAGGACCTGTGATATTCAAAGTCCTCATCTTAAACTGTTGAATGCAAAACTATTTTTGAGGTCTGTGCAGGGGTTGATTTTGCCGTTCATAAGCTCTGGGCAATGGCATTGTAAGATGACCAGAAACATGGATAAAATTAAAATAAAACTGATTTAAAGTATGTTCTGCTTCCTTTCATTCAGATGGTGTTAAATTGAAAGCTGAAAACTTAGTTAATTTCTTATATATATTTTGCTTCTGGTGTGTCCTGGTTCCTTTTCACAACCGGCCCGCCCCCTAAAAAAAAAATGTCAAGCAGCGAGCGTCATGCGTGATGGTTGAACTCTGGTAAAAAGGTTGCATTTTTTGGGAGGCAACTATATATTGATAAATAAAGAGCCACTGTGTAAGACTGTCTGTAGGACTATTTTTTAAATGCCGGCAGGTAGGGTTAGAACTGTCTTTAACTCTAAGCCTTGTAAGCCTATTGTTTAAATGCCAGCAGGTAGGGTTTAGGACTGTCTGTAGGCCTATTGTTTATAAAAACCGACAGGTAAGGTCTATAATATAGGGTGTAGGACTGTCTGTAGGCCTATTGGTTAAAGCCCAGCAGGTAGGGTTTAGGACTGTCTGTAGGCCTATTGTTTAAAGGCCAGCAGTTAGGTGTAGGACTATTGTTTATAGAAAATGAGAGATTAACTCTATTTTTTTGTAACACTTTGACCCACCAGATATTTTCTCAAAAAACCCGGACCCAGTATAAAAAAATTGCACCTGGTTACGCCCTAGTAATTAATTATTGGACTATGAGGAAGATTTCATTGATGAATTTTAAATTTTTTTTTATTAATTGAACAAGTCATTAGTGTAACTGATTTCACTTATAAAATTCTTAAACAAAAGATAAAATTGAAACATTTTTTACAAACGTAAATATTGGCTTCTCCACTAAGAGAGAAATCAGGCTTCAGGTCTGTGAAAAAATATTTTAAAATTTCAAATCATCCAAGTAATAGAATCTGACTTTATAATTGAGGGCTCTAATTTATTGCTCTAATTATTTAAAGGATATCTTTCAAATATGAAATTTTAAGATTCACTGCTAAATGATTTTTTGTCTTTGAGTTCTCACAATCAATTTATTGATCATTCTGGCTCCTGGTTTGAATTCAGAGTTTGCCTTCTCGTAGATGAATTGCTGTCCAAGGCCAACGAGTCCCATCCACCCACATTTTAAATGTATATACTATTTTAATAAAAAAATTATTTAATGCATATTAAATAATACATAATACATAATATAGACCATCGTTGGCAAATGCCCTTATAAAAAGTCCAATGAGCTTAATTAAGAGATTTTTTAAAAAATTGCTAAGATTCAGTGGTGGAGGAAGGGGGATGCTATTTTCTTTATATGGATGAGTGGCATTTCAGCCAACTGCAGAAGTTTTTTGTGGAGGGGATGATAAAAAAGTTAAGCCCAACCCGGACGGCACTAACCTTAGCTATGCCAGTGCTAAGATCAGTCATCAGTTCAATATACAAAATACTCAGATCAAGCATCAGTCTATTCTTTACATCAGAATTCCAGGCGCAACACAAAAACAATAACAGTATCATTGACCGCCAGCAGCCAAGCTTTTATTTAAAAAATAAACCAATCATTTGTATTATGCAGTGAAATCTGGAATGGAGGAAGGAGCTTCTCATTTATAATACAGTCAAATTGTTCATCGTCATCTGCCAAAATATTTACTTTATTGTATATGAACTGCTGATTTTTTTAAAAATCATCATTTATTATAACTAAAGAAAATCAGCATTGAATTTTTACATGGAACAATAATGAAATGAGTAATAACACCCAATAAGTGCCATATATATCCTCTCCAATTAATTAGATCAAGGCATGTAGTTAAAAACCAGCAACTACATTACCAGTGAAGTCAGCAGATTGAGAAATGGAAACACATAAAATATTTGTTTTTTTTACCATACTATTGGAAATTTCTTCTCTAATTACAATTAAAAATGTTCCATCATATTAACTGTAGCCAGCACAGTTACATGAACGTCTGAATCATACATTTTTTTTACCTAAAATATTTTTTTTGTATGGTAGATTTTCATAAAAGAATGAAATCACTAACAAAGAAATGTAATGAGTTTTGGAATACTTTGAAAAAAAAAAAAATAACCAGATTTTCTTTTGGAATTCACGGAATAGAAGAAGTTGTATATTAATAAATCATCAGGGCTGATCTGTCACTGTCAGAAAATGCAGTTGTTATTACAAGTAGTTGTGACTCATTTAATTAATACATAACAATCCTAATAATCTGATATTTCTGAGGATAAATCTACAAGTAGTTGTGACTCATTTAATTAATACATAACAATCCTAATAATCTGATATTTATGAGGATAAATCTTTTAATGGGTTGTGCTGAGAAAAAGGGTCATCTGATTATGACATTGTACACTAAGGGGAAGTGGGTAAAAAAAAGAGGAGTGATTGTGGGGTGTGGGGGGGGGTGTGTGTGTTCAACTTACTGAACTTTGTAATAAAGTAATATTATTAAGCCTGGGTGCAGGTGATGAAATTATCATTCCTGGGTAGACAAAAGGCCAAATATATCTGGAGCAAAAGATATTTCTGTTGGTTCCACTGTTTTGGCATAAGCCTCATTATTGACAGCCTATTTCAAATCTTAAAATGGAATTTGAATTTTTTTTTTAAATCGGGCCTTATAAGTTGTGGTGGAGCAGTATATATGACACATATATCTTGAAAAGAGGAGCTCCCATCGTAAGACATAATCATAATATCATTAGGTCTAACACCTGCATAAAACTGACAACTATCCCAGCGTTGAGTAAATCAATAAACTAATTCACATGAGCTTGTGCGTAGAGTTTCAATTTGAACAGATTACAAAAAAATGTTGGATAATAAGTTTACAACAATTACCTTCAATAAAATAAACCCTCGTCAACAAGAACCATATTTACAAAAAAATTGAAGTGACAACACAACGAGATAGAGACTTTCTGAACCGAATTAGTTGTTCTAGACTTTCTTAATACAAGTTCTATAAAATATGTTAATTCTTGTCAAAATACTAAAACCCACATTACAAGACTGGCATACAACAGGTCTACACAGTATTTCTATCCTACGCCAGCTGAATAAATAATGATGGCAAACATATGAACTATTATCCTTTATGAAAATACAAATAATTAGTTGGGTTTATAAAGTATAGAACTCCAATAGCACCCTTTTTAATAATGAAAAGGATATTAAATAAATGAATGTTAAAAAAAATAATTAACATAATTCACATCACTAAAAGTATAGTGCTATAAATTTTAGAAAAATGGAATACAATTAAGCTAACACACTGAAATGTAACAAGGGCTAGTTTCCAATTAAAAAAATAGTTTTATCATTAAACTTTGCTGTGTGTTGATCTTTTTGCATTCCTACACGTGGTCCTCACTGCCTGCCATTTTGAGGGATTTCTCCTGAAGTAAAAAACAGATCCTATGATTATAGCGATCACAACAACACACCCGACCACGATCCCAACGATCATGCCCACATTGGTCTCCTTGCGAGCCACGTAGACCCCACCGCTGCTGGCCTGGACCCTGGCCACTCCATCGCCTATGTTGGCACTAATTTTTGACCAGCCAGAATAATCCGTGGAGGCGTGGTAAATGTCAACACCATCTGAGTCGTCTGAGAGTTTGAGCTCCAGGGTGAATGTCTTTCCTTCTCCTGAGATTAAATTGTCTGGATTGATGATAAAGAAGTCACTTGCGAAGTCATCCCCTTCCTGTGATAAAAACAAAAATATTTAAATGTTGGAAAATAAAAATAGATGTCTGGTTACAGTACATGTAACCAAATTATTTTTTGTAAAAGATAAAAAAATATAGTAAGGGTAATTTCTGATAGACAGCGTTTCAATACATCACAAATTTTAATTATATTAAAGAAAAATCTCCAATGAAAAAAAAAGATACAAATATAGTGGTCTGATAAAGAGTTATGACAAACACTGATTCAGTTTTATGTCACTAACCTGATTTAAAAAATTTCAAATATTTTTTACAAATAATAGTTTCTCATTAAAATATTCCAATTACCAACCAAAACTAAATTTAAACATCTAATAAAATATGAAATCAGCTATCATCAAGTCAAATTAGTAATATGACATTATAAACATGGTAGGAAATTACTCACATTAGGAACTTGACAGGCAAATACTCACATTATAAACATGGTGGGAAATGACTCACATTATAAACATGTAGGAAATTACTCACATTATAAACATGTAGGGAATGACTCACATTATAAACATGTAGGAAATTACTCACATTATAAACATGTAGGAAATTACTCACATTATGAACATGTAGGCCATTACATTATGAAGATGGTGGACAATTACTCACATTATGAAGATGGTGGGAAATTACTCACAACATGAACCTGGTGGGAAATGATGAACATGTAGACACATTACTCACCGTCAAGTCTCTGTTGGCTTTTTTCAAAGCCTGTTTTCCTTCATCTATGCTCAACTTCTCTATTCTAATCTGGGTGAGTGACTCAAGGGTGTTCTCTTCTATTACCATCTTAGCAATGCTGGTTTGGGACACAAAAAGTTATGGTTAAAAACTAGACACAAAATTATAATAAAGACAAAAGTAATCCAAATCACACACACACACACGATTGTTACAAAATAATTTTATTTAAAACCCATGACCATCTATATCATTGGCTAAAATTTTTTAGGCTGCTCATAGCAAAATCCTTTTCATAGTGATGTTATTGGAATAGATTCTATAAGAGAGGAGTTACATCTCTTTCATTATTTTAATGCATGTGAATGGCAAAGACACATCAAGTTATACATAGCCTGGTTATAAACCCCTTTAACAGTGATGATAAAATAAATTCTATAAGAGAGCAGTTGCATCTCTGTCATTATTTAAGGCTTATGAAAGGCAAAGACCCATCAAGTGATACATACCCTGGTTCAAGACTAAGAGTTCCTCCCATTTTACCAATGGCATCAGTTGTGTAGCTTCCTGAATTGACAACTACTTTACCCTTCTGGTCACGGTTGGAGAAATTATTATTCCTTGTGCACATGT